GGGGGAATTGGGTCGTGACACTGGACCTACTAGAACCATCAAAATTCCGATCCGAGATCAAATTACCCATAAACTTCCTCCAAAAATCTCTCCAAATTTCGCCTTCTACGGAGGTCTCAATCAAATGTTGGAGTTATGAACTCAAACCCTCGAATTCTCTCTTTTCTTCCCAGCAATTTCCGCTTCTGCGCTCATAGGACTGCATTTGCGGTCCCGCTTCTGCGGCTAGATCACCGCACCTGCGAAAATTCATTAACTCCCCAAACGCCGCACCTGTGCTCACTCCATCGTAGATGTGGCTCCGCTTTTACGGCTCTTGCGTCGCATCTGCGACCACTGGACCTCATGCCTCAAACTACACTTGCGACCCCTTCCTCGCTTCTGCGCGGCCGCACCTACGGGCTTCCCACCGCAGGTGCGAAAACACCAGAGCCAACCAACTTCAAATTTTGCTCAAGTCCAAATTTTCATCCGTTAAGCACCCGAAACTCACCCGGGACACCCAGGACCTCAACCAAACATAGCAATCAATCCTAAAATATCATACGAATGTTGATACCCAATTTTTCCCTATATTTTTGTGATGACCTTTTGGGTCATCACTTGCCTTAAATTGAATTATGTATTTCCGAGGTCTTGAAAACCTCATTTATCATCACCTCGATTAGCATGCACAGTTCGGGCGCGTACCCGGAAAGCTTAAATATGATAATCTGTGAAAAATGGTAAAAAAATTTAGTTATAAAATGAGTTAATTTGACTTCGGTCAACGTTTTAGGTAAACGGACCCGGACCCGTGATTCGACGGTCCCGGAGGGTCCGTAGGAAAATATGGGACTTGGGCGTATGCCCGGAATCGAATACCGAGGTCCCAAGCCCGAGAAATGAAATTTTAAAGAAAATTGTTTTCTGGAATTATTTAAAGTATTTTGAAAGGAAATTTGCTTAGAACATGATGGTATCGGGCCCGTATTTTGGTTCCGGTGCCCGGTACAGGTCTTATATATATGATTTAAGATAACTCTGTGAAGTTTGGTAAGAATCAAAGTCCGTTTGACGTGATTCGGACCTAAATTGCTAAAGTTGATACTTTATGAAGTTTGAGAGGAGTTCTTTGATTTTGAGGTTTAATTCGTTGTTATTAAGGTTATTTTGGCGACCTGATCGCACGGATAAGTTCGGATGATGTTATTGAGTTAGTACGTATGCTTGGTTTGGAGTTTCGAGGGCTCGGATGAGTTTCGGGTAGGTCCCGGGATGTCTAAGACTTAAAAATCACAAATGTTGCAGGTTCAGAGAAATTTCAGATCCCTGAACCTGCCAGTGCGGTCCGCGAGAAATCGTGTGCGACCGCGGAAGGGACAGTGCAGTCCCCGGTGCGTGGTGGAGGGTTGTGCGGCCGCAGTCGGCTTTGTGCGGTCCGCACAGGGTCACAGGAAGAGCTGTGCGGCCGCAGTCGATTTTGTGCGGTCCGCACAAGGATTCTGAGACTGTGTACCGTCAGGAAAAGGCTGTGCGGCGGCGGTCCGCACAGGGATTCTGAGAGGTATATATATATACAGGATTTTCAGCCATTTTCATTTTTCAAAACCCCAAAAACATAAGAGGCGAT